TTCAGTCCTCCTTCAGATCTGCTAGGCAGATAATCTTTATAAAAATGACGAAAACTCTCCAAATTTTCCGTTCTTCTTTTCCGGTCACGACGCTGACAATGGCTGCCGGAAGTATAGAGGAAGAAATTATGTGTTTCAATTTCGAATGTACATTTGAATATAGATGTTGATTCAATGTTCATTATGTTGCCGTACTCTTTTTGTCCTCTGTTAAAACCAACTGCCCGTATTAACCCTGCTGCTCTGCCTCGAGTCTGAATGGAATTTCGACCGGCCCTGAACTTTTCTAGAAGGCGTCTTTTGAATAGTCATCTCTTATTTAATCATTATATTTATGGAAACACTTTTTCTTGTCTCGGCTGTCACTAGGACTGCTCAAAAGTGCGTGCGCCCAGCGGCCTGATAACGACAACCTTCGTTCTTGTGCGTTTTCTACTGACCATTACCAGTATGTCCACCACCATCATCGAGTGACGTTTTGAACAGGGGGTAGAAAGCCTTGACACCACGAACAAACTGGCACTTGGTCCGATGGACCGTTTGACCTGAGGTAGCGACCATTTACCTGCAAGCGACCATGAAGTCAGATGTTCGAGACATTGTTCGCCAGTTGACCTGCGACATCCGGCACACTGAGGCATCAGCTGTAAAAAACCCAAACGGTCTCGAACTATTGACACTCTTTGTCACTACCTCAACTTACTGTCACACAATAAACTTCACTCCAAGATGGTCTCGGCCTCGCGCAACTAGAACATCTGTTAATGTTTTTAGCATGCTAAGATTTTGTTAGGGCTGGTTAGATTAATTGCGATCGGTTCTTTTTTACATACTCTGTCGCAATCGATCTGTGGTTTAATTATATCCGATGGTGGCAATGCAGCGTAACAGTGCAATAGTGAATTTCCGACTAGAAGCTCTTCCTTTTTTCTCCATTTATTGTCAATTCTTCATGCAATCGCAGAGCCAGTCCGAGTCAGAGATCAATTTAGAGTTTCCAGATGCAGCATACTCCTTATTATACTTTTACTGAATGCGGCTGTGATTCAGCCGGTCTCTCCCCGCGACTCTAACCATAATGCTATCCGTAACCCTCGGTAGTAGAATATAGACTCTCGGAGTAAATGTTACTGGTAATTTAATTTGCCCCCCCCACTACCCCTTACATTCTATCGCAGTTAACTTCTGTAAATAGAACTGCAATCGGTAACACCACATTAAGTCCCTACACTAACCGCATCTTAAACTACAGAAGCTAGATGAATAATAGAAGAATGATGTCATTTCTTGACTGTTTGTCTTTGGGTTTTACGCAGACGGTGGGCCCCAAGGGGTTCGATACCACACTTTGATAGTATGGTTATGACACTAGTTACTTCAATTTTATCCTCCTCCTGTATTGTTAACCATAAAGTCATGCATATTTCTAGGGTTAGGGTCTAACAGGGAGAAGTTCTTATGTCCGAAATTCTGATTTCTATTTCATACGCTCAAATGAGCTACATAATTGTTTTTTGGGTCAGAGATAGCCGAGCTCCTTTTGCCCGTCCGCGATGTAGAAAGCAAATATGGGATTAGGACAATTGACTACGCGATGACTCCTGTCCGTTGTTTTGCCATCGCCGAATTGACTGCTTATAGTGAATTGGTAGTATTTACTGAAAACGTGTTTGTCAGTTGGTTTTCTATGACCATCTCTCTTGACCTATGTCGTTGTGTGCTCAACGCATGTTCGTTTTTATCTCACTCTACTCTTGCCTTGCCTCAACTGACTTCCCATTCATCTTTTATCGTTTGCTCGCTGGTCACGAGGGAACCAACACCATTAGGTCCAATGTGAATGAGAATACCAACAGGGACGAGGGGGACTGAAATGACCATTTCTGGGTTATTAACACGACTAGCTAGTCAGGTCCCGATGATCGGTTAATGGAGCAGAGTCGCTCTGTCGGGACGCAGTTGCGTGGGTCACTTATATTAAGTCATTTACTGCTCCCTTTTCCATCTCCAATAGTCTTGATCCAGTTCAGTCACTGGATTGCCATGATTGTGGTAGACGGGGTAGGTTGATGTTGCTCTCTCCTGTAATCAAATTTACGCAACAGGGATCATTGCTGTTCTGGTATGCATTGCAGACTAACTATAGAAATTATGTACTTTATGATTTTACTTAGGTTTTACACGTTAAGTACATTGCATATAACGTCTTGGCCCTTGAATAGCCTACAAGTCACTGGTGTCGTTCCCGAAATTATACTATTTTAGGTTTGTCTGCTTCAAAACTTTCAGCCTTTTTGACTTAAGTTAGCCCAATATCTTGACTACGATAGATAGTGTCCTGAGTTATCTTGCTATGACATCCCAATTATTCAAAGGGGGTGACATTGGACTCGAATGTAGATGATTTTAAACGTCACCAGACTGTCTGACGGTTAATATAACCTTGCCGTTTCAAGAACTGTCCTAAACCGCCGGTCTCTTCTCTTTCTAATAGTAGCATTGGCCCAAGCCGTCATCTTACGGTCACATTACGGTGACCCTACCAGACCTCATACCAGTTTTAAAGCCGCATTTTACTAAAGGCGAAATAGTAATTTCTCCTATAGTTCGTATTGGTAATATATTTTCAGGAATTCTGCATTCACTGCTAGCATTCAAAATTCAGGTTCATCAACTTAGTGTCAGTCGCATAACTTACAGCGATAAAACACATACTCGCCTACATTCTTTCTTCTCTACGTTTACGGTTGCTGTAAACCTTTTCGGCACAGTGACAATGCTACTCTCTACGGTTCGACTTCAGGACTACTGAACGTTCGAATATTCTCAGGAGTTTACTGCCTATGGCTGTAGGAAACGTAATTTTTTCATGCCTTAACAAGGAACCTTAACTATAGTCCTTTTCGGTTGAAACGATTCTATGTTGCTGATTGAAAGGGTAGCGGTTCGGTATTACATTATTTTGGATGGTCAGCTCGCGATGCGCTCAAATCTTGTTTACGTCGTGGCTTGCAACTGCACAATTCCATCACAAAGTTACGATGATTTTTTAAAGGCCAGTTATGTCGATACCACTTGACCACACCCTCCTCACATCTGATCACGTACTCCGTACACAACTTTACCGTGACATTTACCACCTCTGTTTTACTCCAAGTACTCTATGGGGGCGGGAGGTGTGCAGTCTTGATTAAGAGCAAAGAATGTAGCTGTGTATTAATGAATGGTGACAGCGTCTATGCATTTAGAGGAGCAGGAGGTTCTGCTGTGCTGCTCTTGATGATAATTTAGATATTTATGCACCCAGGCTTATGGGTCGATGTCTTCATACAACTGCGGGCAGCGGAGGGTATTACGAGCCCTTTTTGCTTATTTTCAAACCTCTGATCGTATTTTATGGTGACCTAGGTTGGTTCTTGCTTCAGCAGTCAATGTGTTTTTTTTTTTCATTTCAGGCAAACGACGGTACAACATTAAGTTGTGGAAGACCTTTACAGATTGTTTCAACTGCTTGCCTATCGTTGCCATCATCGACGAGAAGATTTTCTGCTGTCACGGAGGTAACCTCTGCCCTCGCATTTTGCTCATCCTCGCTAATGTTGTCTAGGTCTGTCGCCCGATCTTCAGAACATGGAACAGATCCGTCGAATTATGCGTCCCACAGATGTTCCAGAGCAGGGTCTTCTGTGTGACCTACTGTGGTCAGATCCAGACAAGGATGTCAATGGATGGGGTGAAAACGACAGAGGCGTCAGTTTCACGTTCGGTCCGGAGATTGTGTCTAAGTTCTTACACAAGCATGATCTGGATCTTATTTGTCGAGCTCACCAGGTAATGTCTCAGTCTCTTTTTCTCTATCTGTGTCTCTTTCATCCCTCAGGTGGTAGAGGATGGTTACGAATTCTTTGCGAAACGACAGTTGGTAACACTCTTCTCGGCTCCAAATTACTGCGGTGAGTTCGACAACGCTGGGGCAATGATGTCCGTTGATGAGACCCTCCTCTGTTCTTTTCAG